TAGCTTCATTCTTTTGGTCGGTTAGCTCTGATATGTAGCACCGGGTAGTTAGGATCGTATAGCATTCTTTTGTGATACATTTGTATATGTATCTGCTGACAAATGTTTATGTAAACATGAATGATGTGGTGAATCAAACTGGATGATATGTACTTATATGATTACATGTTTAAAATGATTCAATGTTTAGACTTTCCGCTTTTAATTCTAAATATTGAGATGTGGGTGTAAGGACTAAGTTCCTCTGTTGAAAGCTACCCCACTGTTGCATGTCTTTTATAGAGCAGGTGTTGTATGTTTCAATTTTGTGTATGATGTGACATGCCTCTTTTATACCACGTTTTAATTATACTCTGATGAAATTTTCAAATGTGCCTAAATGATTTATATGTTAATTGGGGGTGTAGAAGGGGGTGTTACATAGGTCGCATTCTAATGGTCAAAAATTGTTTGTGTACTCGTGCGGGGGTGGTTTAAGAGTTTGTTTGTATTATAGTAGAATGGATAAAACATTGTTCATTTGTGAAAAGGTTTTCAATTACGCGGGGGAGAAAAATGATAGTTTGATGGGTTGGATTATTTTTTTAGGAGGATGACGATAGGACCAAAACGTGTGCCTCAAGGCCAATTATTCATGGTTTCAAGGAGTGTGTATCCAAATGCTCTTTTTTATCCAAGCGTTTATGGAAAGTTAGTTGTGAAAGACGAATGCTCAGTAAGACCAAGACGTGTGCCTCAGGGGCGATTATTTAAGGTTTCAAAGTTCACCCCAATGTTCTTTTTCATCCTAATTTAATTAAGTGTTTTATCGTGGAAGACAAATGCTCTGTAAGACCAAGACGTGTGTCTCGGGGCTTATTATTCGAGGTTTCAAAGGAGTATGCACCCCATTGTCCTTTTTTATTTGATTTATTTGCGAAAAAAATTTAGAAGCATTTTTTGATTAAGTTGGAAATGACTTGATGTTGATCAAGTGTTTTGATTCACGTTGTTTTGAAAAATTGTTTGATTTTGGTAGGGAAAAGGTTTTGAATTTGATTTTGAAAAGGCTTGATGTTGATCAAGGTTTTTTAATTTGAAAATATTCATTTTACTTATTAAATGATTTTATTAATAAAATAATGAAAAATAAAATAATATGATAATAATGAAGAAACAAATTAAAGGAAATGGGGGGTGCAAAAGTTATGGGGAGTGATGAATGAATAAAAAATAGAGTGAGCTAAAGGTCCATCAAAAAAGAAAAAAAAAACATAATATAAATGCTGTAAAAAAATAAAGAGGGGTGTGGATAGTTTGACCCAGGGCTAGGAGGCCCAAGAAGGCGCCCAACCAACTCCAATGGTCAAGAGAGTCAACAAATTAACTCAATCTGGTAAATTTGATTAAGATGTCAAAGAATTCAACATGATCCAAGGGAAGGGTAGTGATGGTGCGTGATATGAATAGTGGGACTCCCTACGTGGGATCCCTAGTCAAAGGCAGCAGTCACCAGACCGAAAGAACCTAGGAACACCACGTGGCTCCAGAGTAGTGAGATAGAAACAAACAAAATGGGAGATGAAGTACGTGCTCCCCACTTCTCTTTCCCATTTATCTCTTAATGTCATACTCTCTCTCTCTCTATCTCTCTCTCTCTCTCTCTAAATACAAACAACTAAAACACTCACATTTTCAAAAATTATGGATCAAACTCATGAAAAATATAAGAACACAAGATGAACATGTTCATCCCCGTTTCTAGATTTTTTTCCCAAAACGCGTTAAAACCCGAATGTGTAAACACTAACCCTTATGGTTTTTCTTTCCATATCATAAATATAACATCAAAATCCTCAAACAAAACAAAATAATCACAAATCGAGTCCCCGCCCCCAACAAAACCCTAAACCCCTTTTTATTGATTTCATAAGATTTCAACAATACAACAATTGAAAGCAGGAAAGCTACAAATATGTGAAGAAATATGTAAATCAACATTAATATGCAAAGGAAAAGGAAAGAAACACCTCGCCGAAACCTGGATTTTCCAAGTTTCCAATGAGAACTCCGGTGAGGCTTATCACCTTCAAATGCGTAAATTGCTTTACTCTTCTCCTTCTTCTATTGTGTTTGCCTCTTTTGAAACTCCTTTCTCTCCTTCTTCCAACTCTGGTTATGGAAGATGATGCAGGTTACGAGCTCACACTTTTAGAGCTTCAACGTGAAACTATAAAAATTTTATGGTGAAAGGTTGGGATCGTTTTTGCAGAGTTTTAGGGCTTTGGAATTGTCATGACACAGAACCTAAATCTCCTCAAATTTTCAACCATAACTGTAAAATTTCAATCATTGACACTCATTTTCAAAATCTAGAACTCAAATCTCATAAATTTTTTATTCTTTGAAGTTTAGTACATTCAATTTTCACTTCTAAACTTAGTACATGCAATTGTAAACGATGCTTAAAACGATTGAGAGAAATGAATGATGTCATGTAAGATAAAATAGAGGCTGGAGATGAGTTTGAAGGTGAGAAAAAAATGGAGATGGATTGAGAAAATAAAACATGTTTTGTAAATTTTTTTTTTTTTGGAATTTTGTCCACTGATGCCATGTCATTGGTGCCACGTCACTGAATGTTTGATACCTCAGCTTTTTTGTAACTGAGAGTTGACGTCAGAGACTAAAACCAAACGAAACTCAACATATAAGGACATCATCCCAAAAAAAGATTCAGAAACTAAAATAAAAAACACGCTACTTACAATGATCAAAACATTTTTTTAAGTTATATATATATATATATATATATATATATATATATATATATATATATATATATATATATATATATATATATATATATATATATATATATATATATATATATATATATATATATATATATAATCATTCATTCATCCTTAGTCAGTGAATACTTTCATGACAAAAATAAACTACGAGATTTAAGGTCAAAACATGGTAGATGGCTGAAAGTTGTTTCAGAGCATTTTAATGAGTTTCATTATAATTTGATATACTACTGTTTTATGTTTTTTATTCCGTTTTTTTAAATTTGATATTTGTATATTAAATGAGAAATTGTTGTTTTATCACGAGTTTTATTGTTATTGATAATCTATGAACGACTAAACACAAAGTTGTGTTATCCTCTATATGTGTATATATGACTCAAGTAAAAAATCAAACCAACTCAAATTACATTGATTTTGTTTGAATTAATTCAATTTTATTATTAAAATCAAACCAAAATAAATCAAACTTCACATTTTTTTTCATGTAGTTAAAATGACTTTTAGTGTCAAAAAACATCCAAACAGCACCACAAACTCTTAACATTTACTGAAGATATAATATAAATTTATTTTAGTGAGATAACAGTTTTAATTACGACAACAAGTAACATTTTTCTTGAGAATTATTATTATTTAGACTATAATGCAATAAATTATTGTATAACAACCAAACTAACAAGTGTCGCAAAGTGACAGAAACATTACTGACGAATCTGTTTGGTATCACCAACTCTCTTCCTCAAATGGCAACCTAGTTTGTCTGATTGCTAAGCACAACATGTGTCGATGAAAGCAGTTAACTAAAAATAGGTAGAATCAATTACATTTGTGTACATCTAAAAGGAATATTGGTGTAAAAGAGTTGAAAACAATGAAGGCAAAGAGATAAAGTTTGGTTGGATGATGGGTCATTTGCCACAAACTTTTGCATCAAACACGGACGATGGAGAGTTGCCTTTATTTTTAACCAACTTTGTGTTCAACATCCTAGGCTTGGCTCTGAGTGCTCATTGCCAGCAAAGTATCAATAATCTTTTAAATTTAATAAAATTTAATTTTGATACAAAAAAAATAATTAAACTATTTTTCTCGGATAGGATCAAATCAAAGCTCAATTTGAATACCTAAAAACCCCTGTGTAAGAGACCACTCAAACTCTCCATCAAAAACATGTGAATAAGTTCCATAATACCTACCTAGTTACAGTTATTGATAATACCTAATTATATTGCATTATTGATAGAATACATAACGGTAGATAATTAGGTTCAAATATTGGTAGAGAGAGATTCACACATTTAGTCATAGTTCAAATAAGAATATTTAAATATCATATCTCAGAATATATTCACGTTAATATTTGACAGGCTTCATACAAGATGTGTAATTAATCTTATTTTTTGTCCAAGCCATTTTTTAGGGTGTGCAAAACGTGCTATTGTATAGGATTTCAAAATTTACAAGATTAAAATATAGTTAAATGGAGTCTTATAAAATATTTATCAGATTAAATTGTGATTAAATAAAATCTCTATTTGTTTTGTCTTTGTTAAACTATGATTAATCTACACAAAATCTACAAAAATTTGAGACAATTCTAACTCTTAAATACGGTCCTATATAAAAAGGATAGATGGAAAACCTTAAAAAGAAAAAAGAACTAAAGCACAACTATATTTATCCGAACTAACTCTCAAATAGAGGTTGCATGATAGAGGATGTCATGCAACAAAAGAACGTTGATAAAATAAATTAAACAAGAAAATGTAGACGGTCAATAATAATTATAATCATCGTGTGGTAAAAAAGATAATTATAATAAATTTTTATGAAAATTATAATTAAAAACATTAAAGTAGTAGTAGTAGTAGTAGTAGTAGTAATAATAATAATAATAATAATAATAATAGTAGTAGTAGTAGTAGTAGTAGTAGTAGTAATAATAATAATAATAATAATAATAATAATAATAATAATAATAATAATAATAATAAAAATAATAATAATAATAATAATAATAATAATAATAATAATAATAATAAAAATAATAATAATAATAATAATAATAAAAATAATAATAATAATAATAATAATAATAATAATAATAATAACAATAATAATAACAATAATAATAACAATAATAATAATAATAATAATAATAATAATAATAATAATAATAATGCAACATTAAAAAAGTAATCCATGGCAGGGAGAGGGAGAGGGCGAGGGCGGCCGCCGAAGAATACGGTGCCTCCGCCATCAAAAACCCCACCAGTGTCACCTACACAACAACAATCAGAGTTGTGCAACCATCTGGAGAGCAACACTAGCTTAACCGAAGAAGGGATTCTGGAAACCCTAGATGCACGTACTAAACCTAATCAAGAAGAAATGGCAACCGCCACTCAATCGACTGATACAACACAACCTGTGATACCTAAGCAACCTGAGAATGGAAAACCTATCCATGAAGGAGCATCTGAGGAAGTTCGTAAACTATGGGTAGATGTGCTAAAGGATAATCGAAATCCGACGAAGGGTAGGGCGATGAAATTCATCGCACCCCAAGTAGTGAATGGAAAATTGGAAGTTGTAATTGAAGACGAAGACATTATCTCTGAAGTTAAATTTTGGGAATCCTCCTTGATCCTCTATACAATGGGAGTTGACCTCAGCATGAATGCAGTTAATAATTTCATGACCAAGCACTGGAATTTTGTTCAATTGTCGGATATGTATTACAATGATGAAGGTTACTTTATTCTTCGATTCAAATCATTCAAGGATCGTGATGAAGTGCTATTGAGGGGACCATACATGATAAGAAACATCCCTCTGCTGATTCGAGAATGGAGGCCAGGTTTCAAGGTCAAAGATGAAATCTTGCGAACGTTACCAATTTGGGTGAAATTGCCTCAACTACCCATCATTCTATGGGGTGATACAAGTTTAAATAAGATAGGAAGCGCCCTTGGAAACCCCATCATGACAGACGAATGTACGGCTAACAGACTCAGAGTATCATATGCGCGAATACTTGTGGAAATGGACATTACAAAAGAACTTCCACAAACTATTACCATTGGTGATAATGAAGGAGAGAAGATCCACCAACCTATTGAGTATGAATGGAGACCCCTATTCTGCATCAAGTGTCAAAAGGTTGGTCATAGTTGTGACAAACCTAAAGTCACGCAACAATGGAAACCTAAACTTGCACCACAACAAGTAGACAATGTGAAAACTATGATGGACAACGCTGCTAATCTGATTCCTAGGTTTGTAGGAAACAACAACATTGTAGCAGACAAGGCTAATTCCCCTGCTGTGAGTAACAATGCTAAGGGAAATACACTAGTAGAGTGTCCCACTGACTTGGTGAGTAGGGCTGCTGATCCACCTCTAGAAAATGGAGTGAACATTATTGAGCAGGTTGAGGCAGTTATGGAGAAGTGGATAGAAGTCATAAGAAGTGGTAAGGATAGAGGCAAACCACAAGACAACCCCAACAGTATAAACAAGATTGTTTGTGCAAATGGCTTTGAGGCTCTTGAGATTTCGAAGGATCCCGTAGAGCCCCAAAATACTGGCCAATGATTACATCTTGGAACGTGAGGGGGCTAAATAAAGTGGGGAAGTTAAAGGAGATTAGCTCCCGTCTCTTTAACCTTCACCCTAAGATTGTAATTCTACTAGAGACACGAGTAAAGCATGACAAGGCCAGGAAAATCAGAGAGCAGCTTAACCTCAAAGGCCAATACCATGACAACTACAATGAGCATTACAATGGCAGAATTTGGATCTACTGGGATGAGAGAAAATGTGATGTAAGAGTGATTAAATGCACTTCACAGATGATACACTATGGTATCCATGATGTCAATGGAGTGTTCCAAACTTGGATGACAGCTATCTATGCAATGAATCAACTTGAGCAAAGAAAGAAACTGTGGGAAGAACTGCAACATATTCATGACAGTCAATAGGGTCCTTGGTTCCTAATAGGCGACTTCAACAATGTTACCAAATCTATGGACAGAATTGGTGGTAATCTGGTGACTGGCAGAGAGGTTGAAGATCTCAGAAAATTGATGGATCATGCTGGCTTGTATGAGAAGGATAGCACGGGAGACTATTTTACATGGACAAATAAACATTCAATAGGTACAATTTACTCAAAAATTGACCATGTTCTTGGTAATATAGATTGGCTGCAGGATAGTATTGATCTGAAGCTGGAGATTCTCCCTCCTAGTATTTCTGACCACTGTCTGTTAAGTTTGAATGCTGAGAGGATTAACAGAGTAGTGCATATAAAATTCAGGTTTACTAATAGTGTGGTGCAAATACCAGAATACCAAGATACTGTCAAACAGAGTTGGAATAAGGAAATCACAGGCAGACCTATGGCAAGATTATGGTATAAACTGCTGAGATTGCAAGCTCCCCTTTGCAGATTGAGCAAACAATTTTCAAACCTCCAACAGACCATTGCCCAAGCAAGGAATGAGTTATTACATACCCAGGAAAATCTCATTATGGATCGTATGAATACTGAGACTATTGAGAAAGTTAAAACCTGTACTGAAAATTTGACCAAGCTGCAAGAACTTCAAGACCAAATACTGAGACAGAGGACTAAGATTAATTGGCTTCGAGAGGGCGATACGAGTTCATCATTCTTCTATGCTTACCTCAAATCCAGAAATACAACCACACATATCAGCCAACTTTATAGAGAGGATGGTACATGTATACATAATCAAGAGGACATAGAAAGGGAGGTTTGTGAGTTTTATGGGAAACTTATGGGCACCAGGGAATCCAGAATTAGTATGATTGATATTGAAGTCATGAGGGAGGGGCCTCAACTGTCCATGGAACAAAGAGCTAATCTAATTTCACCAATATCTGTTGCCGAAATCACTAATGCATTAAAAGGGATAGGCGACCTCAAGAGCCCAGGTATTGACGGTTACGGCGGAAAATTTTTCAAAGCAAGTTGGGACATTGTTGATAAAGATGTTATTGAAGCTGTCACAGAATTTTTTGAGCAGAATGTGATTTATAAAGCTTTCAACAAAACTACTGTTACTCTTATTCCCAAAAAGTTGGACGCCAAAACATTGAAAGATTACAGGCCTATTGCAGGTTGCACCACAATTTACAAAATCATATCCAAGATTCTCACAACCAGACTTGGGAAGGTATTGGGAAACATCATCAGTAAAGCGCAGGCGGCATTTGTTCCAGGTCAGAAAATCCATTCTCACATCTTACTAGCTATGGAGCTGTTAAAAGGTTATAACAGGAGTACAGGTCCCCCTAGATGTATGGTCCAATTAGATCTACAAAAATCATATGACATGGTTGATTGGGGCGCTCTCGAGAATATACTTAGTGAAGTTGGCTTACCTAAGCAATTTGTAGATTGGATTATGACCACTGTGACTACCGTTTCTTATCGCTTTAATATTAATGGCCAGTATACTGAGAGGATCAATGCCAGAAGAGGGATTAGGCAAGGGGACCCGTTATCTCCTCTCCTGTTTGTAATCATCATGGAATATCTCAGCAGGTTACTTCTCAAGATGCAAAGGAATCCGGAGTTTAACCACCATGCTAAATGTGAACGGCTACAAATAACTCATTTAACTTTTGCTGATGACCTCCTGTTGTTCTCTAGAGGAGATCATGTGTCTGTGGAAATTCTGTATTCAACTTTGAACAAATTCCTAGACTCTACAGGTTTGAAAATCAACCCTTCCAAGAGCAAGGTGTATTTTGGTAATGTTTCTGCTAGTGTCAAGGGCGACATCCTCCAGCTAACTTCCTACAAAGAAGGATCTTTCCCTTTTAGGTATCTTGGCATCCAGGTGACGAGTAAGCGGCTTGCCGTGATCCATTACATGCCGTTGTTGGATAGATTACTTAGTCGGATAACTCATTGGAGCTCTAGATTGTTGAGTTATGCCGGTAGGCTGCAACTCATCAAGAGTGTGCTCTATGCTATCACAACCTACTGGATGCAATGCATTTGGTTCCCAAAAACGGTGATCAACAAGATCAATGCTATATGTCGCTCCTTTCTGTGGACAGGTGGTAATACTATCAACAGGAAAAGTCCAGTAGCGTGGGATAATGTCTGCAAACCACATGTGCAAGGCGGACTAAATGTGATAAATTTGGAAATATGGAATAGTATGTTTGTGATAAAACTTCTCTGGAATATCTTTGCAAAATCTGATGATGTGTGGGTGCGTTGGATACATTCTTACTACTTGAGATACGAAGACATTATGACTAGAATGGTGAGGGGGTCTGACTCTGGAATTTTCAAAGCGATTCTCGTACAAAGGGACAATCTAATGATCGTACAGAGTACATGGGATGCTATGCTACAGATGGATAAATTCCATGGGAGGAAAGTGTATCAAAGCCTCCTACCTAGTACTCCTAATGTTCCATGGGCCAAATTAATCCTTCACAATAGAGCTAGACCCCGGGCAATTATTACTCTCTGGACGATTTGTCATGGCAAGCTAGCAACCAAGTCAAGACTTTTCAGATTTGGCATGATCAACAATAACAAGTGTGCTTTTTGCAATGAAGAGGAAACCATTGATCACTTATTTTGTTGTTGTGTGGAATTGAAGCAAATATGGAGTGACATTCTTCAGTGGATGGGTATTAAACACACTCCAAAAAGATGGCAAGAGGAAATGCAATGGGCTCTGAGCAATTATGGTGGGAAAGGATGGAAATCTGATCTGGTAAGGCTTGCTCTTACAGAAACTCTTCATGAGATCTGGCTTTATAGAAACGAAGTCTGTTTTAATCATAAAACTGATAATAGGAATTGCCTTGATAGAATTATTTACAATATAATGTATAGAGGGTGGACTAGTCCAAAGCTTAGACCACACATAGCTAGGTTTATTTTGCCTTAACGTAGTTTGATTGTTTTGTGGGCTGGATCTTTTGATCGCCTTGATTTGTATTGTTTTTTGAGTTAATGCCAAAGTTCCTTGATTCAAAAAAAAATAAAAAATAAAAAAATAAAAAAATAAAAATAAAATAATAATAATAATAATAATAATAATAATAATAATAATAATTGTAAATGTTAAAAATTTTGATAGGTCTTGAGAAAACATTCCGTCCTTACACGATTCGTGCTTCAGGGATTATGTACAAGTCTGATCTATTAGATTGGGTCATCAAAAGAGGATTAGGTTGTACCCTAAATAAATTAGTCCACCCTAAGTTTTAGCTCACTCAATAGAACAAGGTCGAACTGAGGTTTTTGATGGACCTGGCCGATTGTGCAAACCTAAAACTAACACATATAGAATATTCAAATTAAGATGCAAGAATAATACATTTATGGCTAGTTGATAACATTATGTCCTAGGTAATAAAGTTTTATTATAATTACCATTAAGAGATCAAATTAATCAGGGACAATCACCTTAAATGCTCTTTGATTGACCTTGAGTGCAGAATGAGCCAGAGCTACTATATAAGGAGATGACCATTAAATAAATAAGATATACTACTCACATAATATACAACTGAGACTTTACTTGCACTCACTGGTAAAGTTACAATGGTGTACTTTTTTAGTGTATTTGTTGTCCATCGTGAGCCTCAGTAAAACTGACTTGGCTCACACAAATCAACACAACAACAATCATATCCCATCTTACAATGGTGGGTTGTCACCAGTAGTAACAACAATGACCAAGCTACTATAACAAAGTTGTTTAACATTATGCTAAAATTATGTCTCCAAAATAAAGCGATGCAGGATAGTGTATGTGACATACAACAACAACAACAAGCAAAGATATTGTTGATTGAGCAAGATGATCCCATATATCCTTCATCACTTACTGGAGAAATCTGGGGTGCTCTAGTCCGCGATAATTTCAAACCACTGTTCCTGGTATCATTTAAAGGAAAAAGTGGTCCCCAAGAGAACATAATCACAACCAACACCCATATGACTATTAACAGAGTGACTAACTCGCTAAAATTCAAGTCGATGGCTGATATATTGAAGGAATTCGCCCTCAGGTCGTACATAAGCCTCTCGGGGTTCTCAATGCCAAGTTACTAAAATCTGACAAGAAAGATGGTCCTTTATTTTTCCCAAGGATATTCTGAGTTCTTGTGTAAGTATTTTGTCATGTTTAGTGAAGGGACCATCAAGGTAACCACCCTAAACCAAGAGATATTCGTCAGATATTTCCAGAAAGACCACAACATGAGGCACTTAAACAAGTCTCTTGTCTAGAAGTCGACAGCCTCGAAAAAAGAGATTGTGGAAAAAGAGGAATGTCATATTAAAGGAGAGAAAAAATGTGAAAAAGAGAACCTGAAATGCAAGAGAGGAAGGTTCTAGAAAATTTGAAGAACCAAGTTACTAAAGGAACCATATCACAATACCAGTTGGAGAGAAAGTTGCATTTACGCCTATCATAAGAAAATTAAAACATTTAACCCTAATAGACACGAGAAGATAGCAAATTCTCTAGGACGTCTACCACACCAAGGTCGTTTCTAAACACCTTGTCCCAATAAAAGATTTAGGG